GCAATTGCTGTTCCCTGTAACAAATTCTCTCAGCACTTTTCACGTTTATTTTGCTGCTTTCTGACTCTCTGTAGACCGTGGGTATTCCGATTTCACTTTTGTAAATTACCTCTCTTTCTCACTTTTAGATTTCTTTCCCTTGCTTTTAGGAAGTTTGAACATTATTTCTATTAAGGATTTTTTATCTCTTTTTTTTTAATTGCATTTTAGGTTTTGGGGTACATGTGAAGAACATGCAAGATTGTTGCATAGGTACACACCTGGCAGTGAGATTTGCTGCCTTCCTCCTCTTCACCTATATCTGGCATTTCTCCCCATGCTATCTCTCCCCAACTCCCCAAACCCCGCTATCCCTCCCCTATTTCCCCCCAACAGACCCCAGTGTGTGATGCTCCCCTCCCTGTGTCCATGTGTTCTATTTGTTCAACACCCGCCTATGAGTGAGAACATGCAGTGTTTGATTTTCTGTTCTTGTGTCGGTTTGCTGAGAATGATGGTTTCCAGATTCATCCATGTCCCTACAAAGTTTTCTTTTTTTTTTCTTTTTTTCTCACCCCACCTCCGCCACCCAAGAATTTTTTATCTCTTTTTGTAGCGCTGTACTTTCGAATTCAAGGGCTTATATCTGGTTTGAACTTAGAAATGTGTAAATTAAAAAAAAAAAAAAATGTAGTCGAGCACGGTGGCTCACGCCTGTAATCCAAGCACTTTGGGAGGCCGAGGTGGGTGGGTCACCTGAGGTCAGGAGTTCAAGACCAGCCTGGCCATCATGGTGAAACCCCATCTTTACTTAAAAAAAAAAAAAAAAGAAAAGAAAAAAGAAAAAGAAGAAAAAATAATAATAAAATAAAATTTTAAAAATGTGTAAATTACCATTTATACCGTTACTTTTTTTTATTGTATTGAAAAAAATAGGCATGATTTACTCCTACTTATAGTTTTTGTCTAGTTAAAACTATATTTATACTTTATAAAATTTTGTCTCTTCTTACAGTAGTTGGCTGTATTAATTATGCTCAATTTTCCAGTTCATTAGTTTTCTTATGATTTCAATTTAATTTATTGGTTAATGCACACACTGTGTGTTAATATACTTTTTTTGCTGTTGTTCAAATATACTTTTACCTTTTGTTTTTCTTAGACAGTTTCACTCTGTTATCTAGGCTGTAGTGCAGTGGCCTTAAACTGGCTCACTGTAGCCTCCACCTCTCAGGCTCAAGGGATCCTGCCACCTCACCCTCCGGAGTTGCTAGAACTCCAAGTTGCATACCACCATGCTAATTTTTGCATTTTTTATAGAGATGGGATTTGCCATGTAGCCCTGGCTGTTCTCAAACTTCTGAGCTCAAGTGATTCACCTTCCTCTGACTTCCAAAGTGCTGGAATTAGAGCTGTGAACCACCACACCTGGCCTTACATTTTATAGCTTCTTGTTCTTTTCACAAAAAAATCATATTAATTTTGTAATATATTTATGTAAACATTTTAAACATAATTGCAATATGGAAAAGCTATTTTATTTTTGTCTTCACATACTTCCTTATTTGTGTCCATCACAGTTTTTAGTTTGGTTCTCACTTTTGGAAAATATCACATTTTGGATTTTTGTAGTCCTGCTATTTTTGTATTTATTCTATTTTCCCTGGGAGCAAGATGGACAGCCACATAGATTTGACATCCTTGTCATCAGTTACTGTCCGAATTAATCTCATGCTTCTTAGGTCTATTACTCCTCTGGATTGTTCTCTTGATTTACTTCTGTTCCTGTAAAGTTGTTGTATTTTCCTTTAACTCTGTTTTGCATTTTAAGTGCCTTTTTAGCTTCTTGAGTATTTTCAATTGTCTACATTAAAATATTTAATAATATATAGAAGTTTTCTAAAGTTACAAGTATCTACAGTATACATGAGTAAAATATTTTACAAAAATATTATAGCGTATAATAGCACCTAATGAGCTATCTCAAACTTCTTCACCCAGAATATGTATCTCTCTCAAAAATACCGTGTGGTAATAGTAATTTGTAAAGGGTAATTTAGTTGATACTTAAAAATTTTCTTATGTTTTACACACATTTCTGAAAATATTACTCACTGCAGTGAACTAAATTGAACTGCACAGAGCCAAAATTACTATCTTTAAAAAATAAAATAAAATAAAAAGTTAAGGTAACATGGATAGAAATATTAACCTGAATTTAGGCCTTTTAACTCCAGTAACCATGCTGCCTTTGTAGCATATTCTGGACATTTTTTTTTTTTTTTTTAATCTGCCATGTTGACTTCAAAACATGATCTTATACAAATAATTTGTGGTCGGGCACTGTGGCTCACGCCTGTAATCCCATCACTTTGGGAGGCCGAGGTGGGCGGATCACGAGGTCAACAGATCGAGACAAGCCTGGCCAACATGGTAAAACCATGGCTCGCCCCGCCTACCCCGCTCCAGGCGAGGGCGCCGCACCCACACTGCACTGTACAGTTTTGTTCTGCACCCGCCGTTCATAGGTGATCCAGACACGAGATGGCTGTCCTCTCTAAGGAATATGGTTTCGTGCTTCTAACTGGTGCTGCCAGCTTTATCATGGTGGCTCACCTAGCCATCAATGTTTCCAAGGCCCGCAAGAAGTACAAAGTGGAGTATCCTACCATGTACAGCACGGACCATGAAAATGGGCACCTATTCAACTGCATTCAGCGAGCCCACCAGAACACGTTGGAAGTGTATCCTCCCTTCTTAATTTTTCTAGTTGTTGGAGGTGTTTACCACCCGCGTATAGCGTCTGGCTTGGGCTTGGCCTGGATTGTTGGACGAGTTCTTTATGCTTATGGCTATTACACGGGAGACCCCAGCAAGCGTAGCCACGGAGCCCTGGGGTCCATCGCCCTCCTGGGTTTGATGGGCACAACCGTGTGTTCTGCTTTCCAGCATCTTGGTTGGATTAAAAGTGGCTTGGGCAGTGGATCCAAATGCTGCCATTAAAGATTATAGGGCTTTCAAAACTCTCATTCAAATGACTTACCTTTATTTCCAGTTATATTTTTTCCCTAAATATAATAAACTTACCTGGCGTCTGCCTCATACCTGAAAAACAAAACAAAACTAAACAAAACAACCATGTCTCTACTGAAAATACAAAAATTCCCTGGGTGCAGTGGTGCATGTCTGTAGTCCTAGCTACTCAGGAGGCTGAAGCAGGAGAATCGCTTGAACCCAGGAGGCAAAGGTTGCAGTGGCCAAGATCACACCACTATACTCCAGCCTGGCCATAGATTGAGACTCTGTCTCAAATAATAATAATAATAATAATTTGCTTGCATTTTCTATTTATTTTATAAATTAGTTAAAAGACAAAAATATAATTTGTGTGTGGCTCAATAGTACTCATTGCTTACAATTCATAATTTCTAGTGTCATTTCAGTTGCCTAGAAAATATAATCTATTGGATTTTACTTATAAAGTCAATGACGTTGTTAGGACTAAAATCTCAGCATTTATTAATTCCCCTCTGGTATTGGAATATAATGTGTATCTTCTGTTTACTAATGAAGAATGCTGTCCATCTGTTTCTGTGCCTAATTAGTCAAACTTTCTAATAACATTATGTAACATTTGTATGTTCATTTAGTTACTGTATACCAAAACATGGGAGTTATGCCCTTAATGTTACCTAATGTTATAGTAAATGCATCAATCTATCTTTTTTATGTATTTCTGTTTTATACATATTGAACTCTTAGGTATAGTTTATGTGTGTAAATTACTTAGAATAATTCCTAATTCTTTGTAGAGGGTACCAAGTACCAACTTCTCTGACTCATTAAATTTCTACTTGTTCATATCATTTTTTTAATTTTTCATTTGTTCTTATTCAAATTTATTTTCTGTTCTATCTAAATATTTATTAAAAATATGAGATAGGCTGGCTGGGCACGGTGGCTCACGTGTGTAATCCAAGCACTTTGGAGGCCAAGGTGGGCAGATCACCTGAGGTCAGGAGTTCAAGACCAGCCTGACCTTAAAAAAACCTGTCTTAAAAAAAAAAAAAAAAAAGTTAAAAAAAATTTGAGATAGGCAAATTTGCCATATTAATAAAATTTCATCTCAAGTAGCATGTTCACTGTTTTCTTTTAGAGAAGTACCTTTTCTGATTCAGGCAGTAAATGCAACTGATAAGATAGCAGTTATAGTCATTTTCTCAATTCTTCACAGCTTTGGATAACTTACTGATTTTCCCAAAGCCTTAGTTTTGTACATTAATCTTTCTGAATATTTCATGCCAACTACTTAGAAAATCTAGAAACACAGAATATTAGAAATTAAAAATAAATACCTTGAGAGGCTCAAATTAACAAAGGAAACTCAAGAAAAATAGAATATATGAGTAGACCTATAACACAATATTATTATTATTATTATTATTATTTGAGACAAAGAGTTTTGCTCTTGTTTCCCAAGCTGGAGTGCAATAGAGCGATCTCAGCTCACCACAACCTCCGCCTCCCGAATTCATGCAATTCTCTTGCCTCAGCCTTCTGAGTAGCTGGGATTACAGGAATACACCACCCCACCAGGCTAATTTTGTATTTTTAGTAGAGACGGGGTTTCTCTATATTGGTCAGGCTGGTCTCGAACTCTCGACTTGCATCAGCCTCCCAAAGTGCTGAGATTACAGGCGTAAGCCACCTTGCCCGGCCAGGAACTTCTTTTTAACTTATCCCTTGCAACTAGCAGTTTAAAATAGACCAAAGAGGAGGGGATGGAGGCCTGTGTTATTATGCCAAAATCAAAATAAGGCATCATATGTAAACAATTATCTCAACAATTATCCCTGATGAATACTCAAAAAGTACTAGCAAATTAAATTCAGCAATATATAACAATAATAATTATTATTATTGTGATAAGTACAACCAAAGAAACTGTTTCAAAAATGCCATGTTTACTTAACATTCAAACAAAAATCAATGCAATACATATTAGTAATAGAATAAAGAACACAAAACAATCTTTTCATAGACATGGGAAAGCTTGTAATGAATACAACACTCTTGCATTATAAAACCCTTAACAACTACAAAACTTTCCAGAACTGCTAAAGAGCGCTTTTAGAGAAATCTACAGCTAATGTTATACTTAATATTGAAAGACTGGATGTTTATGTATAACTCTGCAAATTAGACAAGAATGTTCACTTTGACTTCTTTATTCAACTCAAGCTGATAGTATTACCAAGAGAAATTATGTAAAAAATAAATAAAAAAAATTTTTCTAATGGGAAAAAAGATAAACTCCTCTTTATTGCAAATTTCATAAGCTTCTATATACAAATCTGTAAGAAATTAACTAAAATCCAGTAGTACAAATAAATGAGTTAGGTTAGGTCAAAAGATACAAGATTAAGACACAAAATTAAATTGCACTTTTACATACCAGCTACATGTAATCTAAAAATTAAAAAAATTCCACTCACAATATCATCAGAAGGTAATATTTAGGAATAAAGTTAACAAAAAAGTGTGCAAGATTTTTCCACTGGAAATAAAGTAATAAATATTAATAAAAAGAGCCAAAAAACCGAAATTAAAACAACATTCAATGTTCAAAAATATAATATTGGTAATTTCTCATTACTTCTCAAATTGACCTAGAAATTTAATGCAATTCTTTCAAATTTTGAAGTGTACTTTTATGAAAATTGACCATGTCACCTTAAATTTTATATAAAAATGGAAAGAAAACTGAATACCAAAAACAATATTAAAAAAACTAAAATTTGATGTTTCACACTTTTCAATAACAATTATCACTACAAAGTTACAAATTCAAGAAAATTTTCTGGTAGTATAAATATATATTCATGTAACTCAATGAACTTGATTAAAGTCTGGCCATATGCTCTTGTATTTACAGTAAATATATTTTTTCTTTTTTTATTTTGAGACAAAGAGTCTCACTCTGTCACCAGGTTGAAGTGCAGTGGTGCGATCTCAGCTCACTGAAACCTCCAACTCCCTGGTTCAAGCGTTTCTCCTGCCTCAGCCTCTCGAGTAACTGGGATTACAGGCGCCTGACACTGTGCCAGGTGAATTTTTGTATTTTTAGTTAGAGACAGGGTTTCATCACGTTGGCCTGTATGGTCTCCATTTCCTGACCACATGATCCACCTGCCTCAGCCTCCCAAAGTGCTGGAATTACAAGCATGAGGCACCAGGCCTGGCCAGTAAACAGATTTTGATAAAGGTTTCTAGTAATTTCCATGAGGACAGAGCAGTCTCTTCAACAAATGATGCTGGAAAAATTAGATATTCACAGACCAAAAAAAAAAAAAAAAGGACCTTGAATTCCTAAAATCTCAATATCATACCCAAACTTGATCGTACACCTAAATGTATAAGATAAAACTATACAGTCCTCAGAAAAAGACTGAAGTAAATTCCAGATTACATAATGATTTTTATGTATTATACCAAAAGCACAATCAGGAAAAGGAAAAATAATGAATTGTACTTTCTCAAAGTTAAAAGCTTTCATTCATCACATAATATTATAAAAAATGAAAAGTCACTGGGAGAAACTATTTCAAATTATGTGTCTGATGCACACTAGTACCTGGAATATGTAGAGACATGTTGTAAGTCAATACTAAATGGACAATCTATTTGAAAATTGTGATGTACTTGCTTCGGCAGCACATATACTAAAATTGGAACAATACAGAGAAGTTTAGCATGGCCCCTGCACAAGGATGACAGGCAAATTCGTGAAGGATTCCATTAAAAATAAATAAATAAATAAATAAATAAAATTTTAAAAAAACGAAAATTGTGAAAATAACTTGAACAAAAAATTTCTGCAAAGAATATACGCACGTTGTCAATAAACATAAAAATGTGCAAAAATATTTTTAGTGATTAGGAAAATACAAATCAAAACATCAATGAGATAATAATTAATACTTATTAGAATAGCTATGGCCCGGCATGATGGCTCACGCCTGTAATCCTAGCACTTTTGGTGGACGAGGCGGTCAGATTGCCTGAGCTAAGGAGTTAAACCAGCCTAGACAACACGGTGAAAACCCGTCTCTACTGAAATACAAAAAATATCTGCTCATGGTGTTGTGCACCTGTAGTCCCAGCTACTTGGGAGGCTGAGGCAGGAGAATTGCTTGAACCCGAAAGGCGTAGGTTGCAGTGAGCCGAGATCGCGCAGCTGCACTCCAACCTGGCTACAGGGCAAGACTCCATCTCAAAAAAAAAAGGAAAAAAACTGAAAGAGGAGAAGGCAAAGGCATAGGTATAAAATGATAATGTTCCTTGTGATTAGTTGTAACAAAGAAAAACTGAAGTTTGTAAAAGATATTAACAGACGGAGCCTTCTGGTTAGTTTTGCCAGGTGAGAAATGTGAAATAAATAATAGTACTTTATCAAAGCTCACTCTAACTCACAGATTGTTAGAAACCTATAATAATTTCATCATAGATTTAAAAAATATCCCCTATCAAATATGACTAGGATAATAAACATTCAAGTATATTAATGGCACCTCTGTCTATCGTTTCAGGTACTTGTAGAGCAGCCTATGAAAAAGATACAACTTCATTTCCAACAAATTCCAACACACACATTCAATGCTGAACTCCAAAATTCATTAATAAAACATGGGAGAATGTGTTCTACTTGTTTTCATTCTAAAACGGAAGTAATATGAAGTGTCTAAAACTTTCCATAAAAATTATTAAATTCCTTAGTTACAGTGTATTATAGAAATTAAAACTTTTAATGAAGCTTAGATAATTATGTAATAATATTAATGATAAATATCAGTCACAAGGCTTTAGAAATTCTTATTTTTTTATCTTTCATTTTCTTTCTTTTTTTTGAGACAGAGTTTGGCTCCATCACCAGGTGCCAGGCTGGAGTGCAGTGACCCAATCTCTGCTCACTGCAACCTTCGCCTCCCAGGTTCGAGCAATTCTCCTGCCTCAGTCTGCTGAGTAGCTGGGACGAGCCACCACACCCAGCTAATTTTTGTATTTTTAGTAGAGATGAGACAGGAGAACTGCTTGAACCTGGGAGGTGGAAGTTGCAATGAGCCATGATAGTGACACTGCACTCCAGCCTAGATGACAGAGCAAGACTCCATCTGAAAAAAAAGAAAAAAGAAAATTTAACAATCAGCTCTTGAGAGGCACATTGGTGAGGGCTCTGGGGCACTGTGGTGAAGCACTCACTTGAGCTTTAGGGGATCCGGGCAGCTGAGACCCAGGAGGCAGGACTTAGCCTCCTAAATAGGACCAGAAGTCAAAGCAAAGGAAACAGCATATAATGAGGTAGAGAATATGTTATCTCAACAGCTGAGATATTTACGGAGAGTGGGTTTTGTTTCTGTTTTGTTTTGTTTTCAAGAAAAGGCATTGGCTGGGCACGGTGGCTCACACCTGTAATCCCAGCACTTTGGGAGGCCGAGGAAGGTAGATCACGAGGTCAGGAGTTTGAAACCAGCCTGACCAACATGGTGAAAACCCGCCTCTACCAAAAATACAAAAAAAAAAAAAAAAAATTAGCCGGGCATGGTGGTGGGCGCCTGTAATCTCAGCTGCTTGGGAGGCTGAGGCAGAAGAATTGTTTGAACTCTGGAGGCAGAGGTTGCAGTGAGCCGAGATTGTGCCACTGCACTGCAGCCTGGCACCTGGCAACAGAGTGAGACTCTGTCTCAAAAAAAAAAAAAAAAAAAAAGGCCTTAAATGTCAGCAAAAGCTGAACTTCTAGATCCAGGGTGGTGGGTGGCCCTGAGGCTTTACAAGAAGGGGGAAGTTACCGTGCATGGTAGAAGAACGTCTATTACTCAAGGGGTGAGGGGACTGAGAGCTCTCCAGGGAATCTGGGTAAGAGGGTAGCAGGGAAAGGAAGAGCTAAGTGCTTGTTGCTACACAGAGGAACACCACCCCAGAACAGCTCCTCCTTCAAACTTCAGGAAAAGCTGTGCCACAAAGAGAAAAGTCACAAAGTCACTTAAAGAGTTAAACTTCTTGCAATAAAATGCAGTGAATGGGCCGAGGGTTGTGTTGGGGCTGATGCACACACAGCCCAGAAGTGAGAGAGCATGGGGTACCCTGAGAACTAAAAATGGTTCATTCTCTGAGCCCTGGGTGTGGGGTGGGGAGCGGGAGAAAGACTGACCTTCTAAAGCTGGGTGAACAGTGACAAGTCCCACCCTGTGCAGATTAAAACCCCATGTAAGTCTGTCCCAAGCACATTTCTGGGCCTCCTTACCTTTCCTCTGTGGGTAGCCAGCAGGTGACCCCAACATCAGAATCAGATGCCCCTGTTGAAGAGACCTTGATCCCCTGTTCTTGACCCCAAAAGTCTTCCCATGGACACTGAGGCTGTGGCATGACAGTACTCAGACAAGGCTGCCTCGGAAGAGGCCACGAACACCTGCCCCTTTGCCAACAATGACCTTGAATCATGGGCTCCCAATTGAGGACAGTAAAGATTTTTCCCCAGCTGCAGAGTGTCCTCTCTTTGGACTCTTGAAGTTCCACCCATGGTGACACAGCTGGCTCCAGGCAGTGACTAAGTAGGGTTTGAGGCAAGTCTTTCCATGATGGGACAATGAGGCCTTGGAAAAATGCACTCCTTCTTCAGGGAAAGTTTTATTTCTTCATCTACAGTTGGTCATCCTGAAGCCACAGAATCTTCACCTTCCTTGTCCCCATTTTCTAAAGCCCCTAGACATCCTGCCAGTGTGGGAAAAAGAGAGCTGCTCCTGCAAGGTCCAGAGTCCAGCTCTTAGGGACTCTGCCATTCTGCTTCCTGGCTCCTGTACATCTGCCTTCCAGAGACTAGAGATACAAGGCCTGACACTACACATTCCCATTCCCATAGGACCACAGTCCAGTGGGCTGTCGGGGGGACAGATAAAAAAATTAAAATTTGCAATGCAGCCAAGCACGGTGACTCACGCCTGTAATTCCAGCACTTTGGGAAGCCAAGACAGACGGATCACAAGGTCAGAAGTTCAAGAGGAGCCTGGCCAACATGGTGAAATCCTGTCTGTACTAAAAATACAAAAATTACCCAGGCATGGTGGCAGGTGCCTGTAATCCCAGCTACTCAGGAGGCTGAGGCAGGAGAATTGCTTGAACCCGGGTGGCAGAGGTTGCAGTGAGCTGAAATAGTGCCACTGTACTCCCATCTGGTCAATAGAGTGAGACTCTGTCTCAAATAAATAAATAAAATAAATAAATAAATAAATGTTGCAATGCAACATAACACACACTGTAATAGAAATAAGTTCAGAATCCTCTGAACTTATTTCTGAAGAAATGAAGAAAGAGCACCTTATTTAGCCTGGGCAGGTTGGGAAAGGTGGCCCAGAGCTGATGGCAGACAATGTAGAATTAGATGCTCAGTTGAGCTAGCCTAGCTGAGAAGCAGGGACAGAGCATTAAAGAGAGATGAAATTGTGTATTCAAATATATGAGAGAATAAAGTACATTCCAGGTCTTATGAGTGGGTTGGTTTGAGGAACTATATATATATATTTAGAGATGGGGGTCTCGCTATGTTGCCCAGGCTGGAGTGCAGTGGCTATTCACAGGCTCGATCCCCCTACTGATCAGCACGGGAGTTTTGACCTGCTCCGTTTCTGACCTGGGCCAGTTCACCCATCCCTAGGCAAGCTGGTGGTCCCCCGCTCCAGGAAGGTCACCATATTGTTGCCGAACTTAGTGCGGACACCGGATCGGCATAGTGCACTACAGCCCAGAACTCCTGGACTCAATCGATCCTCCCACCCTCAACCTCCTGAGTAGCTGGGACTACAGGCACGCGCCACTGTGCCGGGTGAGAAACTATATTAATGTTTAGTCTTCTACACTTTGATCAACTCAGCCACAGCCATGGGACTTAATTGGTATATAAAATCTGAACAGCAGTAATCCCCATGTCATTTTCAGGAAAAAAATAAAAAAAGAATGCATGGTTCAAGAGCCAGTGCCTTCTTCCCTACCTCTGCAATAGCGGAAGCTCGTGTTGAGAGAGAACTTCCATCAGTCTAGACCCCTGATTGCCAGTACTGCTTAAAGGCCCCTGCTCATCTGCAATGAACATATAGTGTGAGCAAGAAATGAAGTTAATGACTCATTTGTTACTGCAGCCTAGCTGAGCCTGGTCCTAACTGATACTATTGGTATGACTGAAACAGAGGCTTATGTTGGGGAATGCCAAGAGGTAAGCCTGCAGCTGAATCAGGTCAGCCAGCTTCCCTATGTGATATTGTGCTTTAGCTGGCCTAGAGCCAGAAACTGAACAACGCCATTTTATAAGATAAAGCTGCGTTTGGCTTCTGTAAATAAAACTGCTAGCTTGCTCTGAAAAATGCCCACTATGTAAAGCTGCTTACCTTTTCTTATCAGTACCAGAATAAGCAGCCCAAGCTAATGCCATCTTGGCCCCTGTGACTTGTAATAAGTAACTAAGGTCTGTAATTTTCACCCTACCGAGATAGTGTGTAAACTAACGTTTATCTTGACTTCTGTAAACCACTTAAGTAACAATCGGAGTGACAAAAGTCCCCTGGCCCTTGGAATGTCCGGAGCCCCCCTCACCCTCGTCTCTGCCCAGGTGGTGATTTACAGAATCCACTAGCCGTTGGAATGTCTGAAGCCCTTCATCCCCATCCCCGCTCCTCACCCTCTGGGTCCTAAAACAAGGATGTCGTTTTTCAGCTTAAAAACCCTGCTCTCCCTGAGTTCGACACCACAGGTTGGAGAGACGTGGGTCCTCTGTGGTCACCGGCAATAAAGACCCTGCAATTTGGCATACTTTTGTCTTGGTGTTAATTCATACTCGATCCAATACTTCACCTATTGTTCTTTCTCAGGATGTTAGATAGCACAACAGGCTGTAGTTAAGTTGGTTTAAGTTCTAGCTCCATCATGTTCTAACTTTCTGACCTTGGGCAGTTTAATCTCCTTAAACCTAATTTTATCTATCTGAAAACTGAGAATAATTAAAATAATATTACCTATTTTATAGGGCTGTTACATTTGAATAAATAAATACTGAACATTCTCTGTCCCGAATAATA